TTTTTTTCTTTTTTTTACAAGTATATGCGGCACCAAAGGCCATGGTTTTTGAGCCTTTTGGCCTGACCAGAGGACATCGCAGTATTTTGGAAATTATGGGACAATAACTCAATTCCTAATCTTAAGACAATGGATAACTGATCAAACAGATTTGCCACTTGGTTTTGTGTGAGAAAGAAACAAAAGTGTAAAAGTTCATCAGTAAATAAACAGCTAAATGTGGATGTCATTGTCAAGTTCGCAAAAACTGTAAAGAGTTCAACATACTGGATAAGGATCACACATTTCCAATAACAATGTCAAACCTGAGTTTAAAAAACTGAGTTTTGTCCAAAAAAAGAAATAAAGTCAATGGAACTTGAACGTACCGACCAAAGATCTATGATCAAATCTTCCTTAAGGATCCATGATCTGAACTTCAAGAGATGTAGAGTCCAGAATCTGTCCTGAAATTCACAGCTGATCCATGACCCGCTGTATTTTAGAAATCCGCGAATCCACTCAATTTATCATGAAAGTCTGCAATCCGTGCGCTCTTAAAGGCCAAATCCGTCGATCTGCAAACCTATTCACCCCCTCCTTCAACTAAAACTGGCAGGGCACGACGAAAAGGCTGTCCAATAGCCCAGGACTAGTGAAATGATTGGTCGGGCTAGCGCTGTCTTATCACAGGTTGCCCAACAGGCAAGCAAGAAGTGGACATGAGTGAAACACTGTTGCTTGTTTTTTTTGTTTTCTTTTTTCCTAATGGCAAAATTTACATGTTGTGTATAACACACAGTTTGTGAGAGAAAGTGAAACAATAGAAATTGTGTTTTCTAAGATAGAGTAAAATGTAAAATTTAAGCAACTGAAGTCAATTTTTTTCCTGATCACATGTCCCAACAGCGCAGAGGAGGTGCAAGGCAAAAACTTGATGTAACAAGGTTATCACATATTTTCATCTTTATCCATGTAGTTAATAGTTTGCTCAAGGTAAGCATATGTCTTGAAGCATATGTAACCTTGAAAGCAAGGAGCACTGGAGTGGTAGCCAAGATTTCATTTGGTTATTTATATTATGACTGAACAAATTGTGTTTCACGTACATGAAACATGTGACAAATTAAAAACATTAAGGCATAAAATGAATTTACTATCATTTACAAACTACAAAATAAGACAAAGCGTATGACTTCTCATATTATTCTCATATGAAAACTTCTTTGAATGAAGAAAAAGCCAGCTGCCATGCCACTTGGGAGTGAAGCATAAGTCAAGTGACCAAATCAAGGTTTACAATTGTTTGTGAAAAAATTAATAGCTGCGGCTAAATTTATTACAGTTACATAGCTTGGAGATTAAAACAAATGACTTAAGTCTTGTTATTTATGGATATGATTCAAATTTCCAAGGGGTAGGGGGACCCAAGTAAAAAAGTCATGGAAATTCAGAGGATGGGGGTAATACAGTGAAGCCCCCCTGGAACAGAAAATCCTGGGGGGTGGGGGTCAAACTGGAAATGAACTCTCCATGGGGGGTATGGATATTTTCTAAAACCACACATTAAGTGTGCGAAATGTTTTACTATATATGGTTTAATTCAAAAGGGAAATCAAAGAGAATCAATTCATCTAAGCTCCACATTATTAATTAACATTATTTTTGCACATTGAATTGATTTAATTATCCTTATTAATAAAATAATTTCAGGCTAGCTCCTCAGAGATTTGGGCTAGTAAGATGAAATTACAGCTTGCCCAAATTTCATCTCATCCTGAACTGGGGAATATCCAATTTTCACAACTGCACATGTTACAAAAAAGATTTGAAGGATAATAAACACTATAGCCTCCATTTGGTGCAAAAATATCCTCACACATTATCTATCCCAAGAAGTGAACAGTTTTCCTCGAGCTACGCACATTCTCACAAAGCTGTTCAATTCTCGGAACAGATATATATGTCTGCGGACAATTATCCCAGCATATTATTGAGAGATTGTCGTTTATGAGTAACATGAAATTCTCAGAAATTGGTAAAATTGATAGAAATATTGAACTGAAATGACGGAAATCAATAATCATAAGGAAGTGGGTGATATTTTTTAATTGATTAGTATCGATTATCATTGATATTGATTTGAAAATTTATTAATTCCTTGCGTGTTAAAGTTGTATCACAACTAAACAATGCCAAATCTTCTCTGTTTGTTAGTAAATTAATTACAACTCGTGCTAGGTCTGCAAACTTATTTCTATCTAACGACTTGTCCATAGAAGTACGGCTTCCGTGTTCCGTCGCGCGCTTTCCGATTATGTGATGTTTTTTTTATTATTAAATAAATCTTCATTTGTTACCTCTATCGTTAGGTAATCAAGCTCACGTAAAACTTCATACAGTCTCTCAAGTGGTACATCTGATGTGATAGTGAGAAGATCATAACTTGCCCCGTATAATACCGGGTTGTAATGTGACTTATACCGTAAATTCCCTTACCTGAATAGCAGGCAATCTATACAAACATTTAGGTCCAGCATTCAAGCCTGTCTTTATACACAATAGTGGATTGCCTACTTTGTAAGCCGCCTGTATTTGAAGAAACCCACAACATGTCCGAAACATCGGCGCCATTTTGCTTCCGCCATTGATTTCAGTGAACATTGGCCTCGTGATCCCGTGACAGGTAAAACACGTCACGGTTGCGTTCGTGATGCGCTATATGCGTGATGGGTCCCGTGACGCATCTGCGTATACGTGACATTTCAACCAGTGGCTTTGGTGATGATCGTGAATGCGTTAGTTTTTCCCGTGAAATGTGAAATGACTGTTTTTTATTCCTTGTGAATCGTAATTCCTCTAATAATCGGTCCTCGATTTTCACAAATTAATTTTCCCTTCACCATGCACCACGATCGCGTCAAAATTAATCTCGTTCCCAGATCTCTTGTGGACGAAGCCGGAGGAACGAGATTACGTCAAAATCTGTGAAAATTTTATTTCAGAAAGACCATGGGATCGAGGTTGCGTTGCGTGCGGTAGGTAGGTATTCTTTGATTGCCAAATGCCGTGTGCCTTGCGTCCGTTTGAACAGTAACTGAGATGAGTTCGTCGAGAAAAGTAACTGTTAAAATGTGGTAGGACCCGGGGATAGGACATGGAGTTTGTCACTCCTTAAGTGTCACTGCATTTCGGAGTGTTCTCCACCCTACCGCAGCTAGTTCCATCCAGGAAAACACTGAGTTCTAGTGTAGTCTCAGTAATGGCCAACCTCGTTCCCAGGGTCTCTCATCTCTCTTCGCTCGCTCCAGGGGGCGGTAAGATGAGAGACCCTGGGAACGAGGTTGAGTAATGGCGTCTTCGATGTGATTCGTAGTCGACTCGTTGTCGCTGGTCTATCGCTGGTTTATAAAGGTAAGAGAGTCTACAAAAATGCTTTTTACATGTCAAGCCAATGTAAATAATACTGGGTCACCTCTTTTCATCTCACAGAATGGAAGAAAATAGTGTGAACCAATGTTTTTTGTATTTTGTCAAAGACAGTAATATGTGTTCTGAACTATTGGTGGGTGGCTTATTTGGATATTTTGGGGAATTTGGAGACGAAATTGACTTTGTTGTTGTTACTGAACGTTCAACAAAGCAAAGTGACTTTATGGTGAATTAATCAGCTATAATCATTTTACTTTGATCATATATTCACCTAAACCTTATCAGACGTTGTGGACATTTTGCACTGGTGGAACAACTTCAGCTGTGGGCCCCTGACAGTTTTCAACCAACCACATCATGATTTTGAAACAAAGAATTGACGTTTTTGTGTGATCTCACCTAACATTTTCTAGTAGCATGAGCTGGAACAGTCAATTTTGACAGGGCTTATGATAGGTCGCAGAAAAAAGGCAAATTTCGTGGAAATTTTGTGGGAATTTTCAGGGCAAATCTCGTGGGAAAATGATCAGTAAAAAACGACCAATTTTGTGGGAATTTCCTGGGCAAATTTTGCTGGAAAGCAATCGGTTGGTTAGAATTCATTTTTGCCAGTGGCTTTGTAGTTCAAGGTTATGCACACTGTGTTCAATTCACTATTATGGTCACTAGGCTGCACAGAGTTGTTAATACTCCTATACCGCGTTGCACTGGCAGGTTTATTCAAAACTATTTTGTCACCACACTTAAAATGTCAATGTTATTTGGTTCCTGGGTTCAAAAACTTAGGCTAAAGATAAGCTAAAATATATTAGCGGAGTTTCTGTGTGCCATAGGTGCACGAGGGGAGCCCCATACCTTAGAAAATTTGGTAACCCATTGATCTCAAAAAATTTGGTTGTCACATGACTGTCTGTACGAACGCCAAGCCCCATACATGTACCTCGAAAAATAAAAGTAGCACCATAACCATAGGTACATCTTTAAAATTGAACATCCGTGTTATGATTATAATTGACAGCGGTCAAAACAAGGTACCTGCTGACCAGTATCATGTGACCATATTGCTGGCTCAGGTTAAGAATTCATTGAGGTTGCATGTTTTTTTGAAGTTGACCACTGACCAGGTGCTGGTTAAACGATTGGGTTGTGGGCTCAAGCCAGGTTATTTCTTTGGGGGAGAAAGAGGGAGTACATGCAAAGCCAAATGTTCTGGCAAATTAGCCCCTGATGCACTGTTGATTTTTCTTCCAACACATTCCTTGCACAATTGTCTCTTGGAAAGTCCCTGATATATTGTGTAGTAATTCTGCAATCTTGGGTACACTTATTGGGTATGGTTTATTAAAATTTAACTGGAAAAATAACAAAACCACATGCTGATCAATACCATGCTCACAATTGATAATTTTTTGAGCTTCTGATCCTCAAAACACAAATCCTCTTTTTCCTTATGGTTAATTATTGCAATCAGGAGCTCTGCTTTTAGGCTTGGCTAAATCTATTTATTAACTACATGTACAAGATGATATAACTGTACCCATTTCAAAGAAAGTTAAAAAGTCAAGTCTGCATTCAATCCTAGTTACCCAGCACATGAGAACTTGAAAATTTGAAAATGATGAACGAGAAAATGATGAACAAGTCATCAAAACGTCATTCCAAGTTATTATCGCTGATTTTTGTTCTTAATAAATAAGTACCAGACGAGTATATTTCTGAGTTTCCCAGTGGAGTTTAACTTATGACCTCTTTGCACAGACCAGATGCTCAAACTGCTGAGATTCAGTGGGTTCATGGCCATCCTGGCTATTTACTCTCTTCATTTAATTGTTAAAACTATTTGTTGTAATTAAATTCTCTCTTTTCTTAACCTTACTATACTAAGGTAAAAAGAATGTGTGAGAACGAGTAGACTTGTTGGGTTCGCAAGTTTATTGTTTGCCAAGCATTTGCATGTATGTCATGGTTAACAATTAGATCCTTTAATATCTTATACATAAGATAAGATAAGATAAGAACTTTGTTAGCGTGT